TCTGTCTGTCCTGCCTGCTGCCTTGCTCGGCCCTCGGTCCTGTCTGCATCCCTACCCGCTGTCCAGCTGTCCGTCCTGCCCGTTGTGCAGCATCTGTCTGTCCTGCCCACTGCCCTGCCTTGCCCTCGGTCTTGTCCGTGTCCCTACCCACTGTCCAGCCGTCCGTCCTGTCCGTTGTGCAGCATCTGTCTGCCCTGCCTGGCCCCCAGTTGTCTGCCCTGCCGGCTGCCCGACCGTCTGTCCTGCCTGTTGTGCAGCCGTCTGTCCTGTCTGCAGCCTTGCCCTTGCCCCCGGCCCTGCCTGCAGCTCTGCCCGCTGCCCGGCCATCTGTCCTGCCCGTTGCCCAGCGGTCTGTCCTGCCTGCGGCCCGGCCCGCTGCCCTGCTTGCAGCCCGCTCTGCAGCCCTGCAGCCTGCTGCATCTCCTGCCTGCAGCCCCCCTGCCCACCCTGCCCGCTCCCTGGCCCATCTTCATCCCTGCCTCCTGCTCCTGCCTGCCCGGTGCTTTACCCTCCTTCCTGGCTCCGTCCTGCCCACTGCCCTGCCTTTAACTGTCTGCTAAAGCTGCCTGGTCGAGCTCCGCTGCCCTGCGCTGCCCTCGATGCTGCTTGCAGCTCTGGGTCTTGTGCCTGGCCCGTGCAGCTGGCTAGGGGATGGAAAGGCGGCTTTTCCCTTGCTGGCAGCAAGGAACCTTCTCTGCCGGCATCGCAGCATTCCTGGAAGCACTTCAAAGCCACGAGCTCTTTGTGTTGCTAGTAAGACGCTATCTATCAGAATAAAGCACTACCAGGCAGAGCTGCTCCCGGGTTGCAGCCGGCTGCAAAGTGTGAGCAGAGATGGGGGCTGTGCCAATCCTGCCCGAGGAGCCGGGAAGCTTTGCTGCAATTCAAAGAGCCGAGCGCCGGTGGTGCCTCTAATGAAAGGGGTTTCTTTATGCAGCATGACAAGCACGGCATCGCTCCTGCTCCTCGCCGTGGAGCGCCTCGGAGAGAGGGCCTTTCGCTCTTCCTTCCTTTTGCTGGTTTGTGGAAGCAGATGTTTGTGGTGACATGACAAGGCAGGTAGCAGGTCACAGGAATTATGCTGGTGATGCAGCCAGCTCGCTGGCAAAACCTGCTGCTGATCCCCTGTGCCCTGCAGAGAGGGCTGCTGGCTTGGGTGGGAATGGCAGGGCCAACAGTGCTGAAATGTCCCCCCTGGGAGGGACAAACCAGGCAGGGCAAAGCCACGGTGCCAGTAGAGCATGGGGAATCACTCGGTCCATCCCAACGCGCTGCACTGGTGTCCTTCATCCATAAAGCTGCCAGGGCATCACTTCCTGGCGGGAAAGCACGTGCAGGAGGCTCTCTGTGCCCATCGCATCAATAACGTCCGTGCGGGGCGTCAATAGAGCAGCACGGCATGAGCTGGTCCCCACGGTTCAGAGAGCTAATTAAGCTTCTGCTGACCTGGTTTCCAAATCTTGCTAACTTGCTGCCTTCAGAACAACTTCAAATTTCCAGCAGAGACAAACTGGGATTGCAAGGAGGGCTGTGGAGGAGGACAGAGGTGCTTTGGTGGAGCTCAGCATGGACCAGGAAAGGTCCAGAACAGGAAAGATAGTGCCCCCCTCGCAATAATGTCCCCCAAAATGGGCTGTTGTGGTACCTGAAGGTGCTGCCCATCAGGCTGCACATGGGCAATGTCCTGGAGCAAGAAAATTTACATAGTCTACTCAAACTTGTCCAGTGGATACAGGTATGGAAAATCACGGTTTGTTCAGGCCTCAAGACGTGATGGCAGCTTCACTCTTCTAACCAGACTCTGGAGCACATTCAGCAGCAAGGGCTGGGGCAGCAGGCACTGGAACTTGAGCTGGTCCCATGTGTGAATGATGCCCAAAGGAAGAGGGAAACAGGCCGAGTAGAAGTGAGAAGAAGAGGTGCTGTCTGAGGGGGCTGGAGCACAAGCATTTCCTTTCTGGAGCCTGGAATTGCTTTGGGATTTCTGGGCTTCAGCACTCATGAGCTGACAGCTCTAAGGCAGCTCCACTCCTGCACAGGGCCAGGGTGCAGCTGGTGGCACAGTGCTCTGAGCCCCTTGTGCCACCCCTGTGCCAGGATTTTGGGGAAATTCCCTTTCTTTGGCTAAGGAACCCGGCTGTAAGAGCTGTCTCAAGGGGTCTTAGGGATGCATGAGACACAAAGTCAAAAATGAGAAAATGCCAGGGCGTTAATGCAGCTCCGTGCATCCCCTTGTGCCCCTGCATTGCAACAGTCTTTCACGGCAATCATTACGTTTGTGTTTTTCCCATAGGATGCCTGCCTTGTTCAGTACGCAGCGTGCGCAGAAGAACACAGGTTGTGCCGTGAAAGCTGTTGACTGCATCATTCAGTGCAGAGACCTGGTAGTGAGAGACATAGGAGAATGAAGGAAAAAAAACAGTGCTAATTTCATTTAATTTCACTGACTGCCGCCCTGGGCACTGGGTTTTGCATCCCTGCCTCTGCCCCCTCGTGAGATACCAAGGGAATCCCTTGAACCAGGCTTTTGGCAGGGGGTCGATACCTCTCTGCTTGTTTCCTGGATGCCTGACTTGAAAACAGCTGCCTGATTATTGGGAGGAATGCATGAGAAATCAGCGGGAACCAGAATCAAAAAATATATTGTGCTATAGCAACACTGGAAACTTAGAAAAATCAGGTCCAGAGCATCTCAGACCAGTGGGCCAGGGAGCCAACCCCTGAGCATGTCCATTCCAGCTGCGCTCGTCTGCTCTCCCAGGCATTCCGTCCAATTCCCAGAGCGCGTGGAGCTGTGGGGAAGGGAATCATCCCTGTGTGATTTGGGAGCCAGGGAACTAACGGAGAGGCTATAATGGAAAAGTCAAATAATAATTCCTGAGGCTGAGAGAGGAGAGGTCGGAGCGTTAAAAGATCATGTAAACATCTCTGTACTCAAAGTGTCTGGGGATGGTTCATTATGCAGCCTTAACTCTGGCATTTCCGATGTCTTATTTGAAGGCATAACATCTCCATTTGCATCTCCACACCTAGATACAGACACACGCTTACAGTTATGTTTGCAAATATATACACAAACAGGCGTGTGGAATAGCTTCCAGAGGTTGGTCCGTAGGATCTGCCCGTGAATCCTGGTCGTGAGAGGAGTGGAAACTTTGCTGTTGCTTCCTGCCGCCTCCATGGGATGGGATCTGCCCCAGCTCATGTGAGGAGAGGCCAGGGCTGCCGTCCAGTGCCAAGTCAGCGCAAAATCAGGCTCACTCTTCTACTCAACACAGAGTTAATATCCAGTGACGGAGACAGCATTTGGCTCTAGGACTCCCTGGAAAACCAAGAAATTAGGACTAGGGACAGTAAATTGGGCAGGGGGTGTTTTACTAGAGCAGCTGGATTGGGAACCTATGGTGGGAGCTGCCGGCTCATTCAGTGCTTTACCCAGCACAGGTCCCTGCTCCTCAGACTCAGTGACTACCGAGTCACTTGCCAGAGGTTTGGCCTCCCTCCAGGTTACGCAGCAGCACAGCAGCTCTCCCAGCAATTCCCTGTGTTGGCAGGAGGAGACAGAAGTGGAGGCAGATGTTCCCCAGGCTGCCTGTATGAAAGCGATAATCAAATGATAGATTATTTCCAAGCAAACTCGCATTTGCAGACATTAATTTTAGTGCTGTGCAAATGGTTTTGAGGAAAAAAAAATAATGCACTCAGAGCATGGAGAAGGGTGGTATGAGCCAGATCTGCTGCGGGCGATGCTGGCGAGTAGTTTTGGGTGACACTGCTACACTCCACATCCTGGGAGCCACCCGTGACCTCCGTGGCCAGGAAGGGATGTAGCTGCCGCGCACGGGAGGAGCTGCAGGTCCTCTGGTGTTATGGATTTCATTGGGCCTCAGGGGGTGTTGCTTGAGGTCAGTTTCTTTGGGATGCAGAGGGCACCCCAGCGATGGACTCGCTGTGCATCCCGCAGCCCCGTTCCTCGGAGCGGAGCCGAGCGCCGCCGGCTGCGTCGGCAGCTCCAGGGAAGCAGCATCAGCAGAGCGATGCGGAGGGAGGTTTGTACCAGCTGAGCTTCTGGCCCCCGAGGTACCTGACCTGCTTTCCCGTTGCCAACTATGCTTCAACCCGCTAAAGGTCACGGGAAGTTGGGTTTATTTTTAGTTTTTCCCTTTTAAGTTGCCCCAGAGCGGTGCGGGCTGATGGAAGGAAGACGCCTCCTCCCTCCCACCGGTCGCTGGGTCAAGGTCCCAAGACGGTGCTAATGGACGGCCGTGCCCACCGCAAGCTCCCTGCGAAAGCCTCGGACATTCCCTGTCCAAGGAATCCCGCTGGCACCTCCCAGCCTTCCCGGAGCTCCGCAGGGAGCAGCACGGATCCGTGCTCATCAGCAGGGGTGGTTGGGCTGTGACAAACACTGCCGCTTCTCCTTGCTGCCGTGGCCTGGCCTCGAACACTTGTTTTTCCATTGTTTCAAGGGGGATACTCGGAATTGGGGCGAGTCCTGCAGGATTCGGGGAACTTCAGGTGGAAATGGCCAATTCCTCACAGGGCTTTTCCTGCCCATCCTCCGGCTTGGCCAGTCCCAGTGGACTCTGCCTGGTCCCTGCTCCAAACCCCCATTCCCAACAGGGCTGGCTCTGGAGTGTCCCCATGTGCACGGGGGCTGTGATGGTGTCACCCGCAGCCCCGTCTGACCTGAGCAGGATGACTCGGCCTGGATGCACAGCAGGGTCTCTCTTTTGTTGGAAATTGAATATTTTTCTCTCTTTTTTTTTTTATTTCCCCTCTGTTCTATAAATGGAATGGAGGTGCTTAAAATAAATTCACGGAGAACACTGCCGAGACAACACAATGGGATCGAATCAAAGTGTTTGGATTAATTAGCTTAAAGTGGAGCCTTTCATTCTGCTTTCAACCTTAGCTTCATGTGCAAAAAAATAAAAGCAACAAAGCTTCATGAGTTGAAAATCTAAATGTTCCACCCTGAAAATATCAAAACGAGACATTTTGGCCTCGCTGATGTGCTTTGTTTCTTTTTAAAACAAAATGACATCAAGACTAACACCTTTTCATGTTGCCTGGATCATTAAAAGAGCTTCAAACCCAAACCCAAATCAGCATGAGCAAGTAATATCTTAATTAGTTTTTTCTCTTTTCCTGCCAAAGGAAAGTCTACAAATACTGATTTTTTTTCCCACCCCCAAGCTATGAGCTGGCCAAAATTATGAAAAGATTTCTTTAAATATTTCCCCTCACTTTATGGTTGATTCATAGAGCTGGAGCTGAGTGAGATGAAGTGATTTGCATCAGTCGTGCCACTGCTCAGGCTTCTTGGTGGGCGCTGCTGTTGTCAGAAGATTTCTGGTGTTATTGGCTATGGGGAAAGCAGCATTAAATTTGCTTTTGGGGGTGAGTTGTGTGGGAGACATTTACTCGGCCCCTTGCAGCTCATATCGTGTGAATATTGGAAGGACATGTAATACGCAGGTTTTATAAATGCTCGTGTGGTCTCCAGGTGAACAAAACAGATTTTTTTAGTGGATGTTTTCCTACTGGATGAAATTGAAAAATGAAAAATTGGAGATGTGGGAGGGGCCGTGCTCAGTTTGTCATTTTTCATTCTCCTTCCTTGTCCTTTTTATTTTTATTCCTCTTTCAATGGCAAAATAGGAAAAGGGTAGAAATGGAGGAGGGGAAAAATAAGGAAAAGAGAGGCTAGAAGGGAGGAAAAATGGCAACCTGCCAAGTTAAAATGAAATATTTTGAAATTATTTTCTAGAGGTGTTTCCAAATGATATATATTTGCTTTG